AGACGGTTCTGATGAATTTCCTGCGCGGCGACGTCGCCCGGCTGCGGCGCGCGGCCAACGAGGCCTGGGGGGCCACCGGCGGGCCCTGGTGGGCCACCAACGCGGCCATGGTGGCCACCAACGCTGATGGACCCACCGTGGCCACCAACGGACCTCCTGTGGCCACCGACGCGGCCATGGTGGCCACCAACGCTGATGGACCCACCATGGCCACCAACGGACCTCCTGTGGCCACTGACGCGGCCATGGTGGCCACCAACGCTGATGGACCCACCGTGGCCACCAATGGACCTCCTGTGGTCACCAACATGGCCACGGTGGCCACCAACGCTGATGGACCCACCGTGGTCACCAATGGACCCACCGTGGCCACCAACGAGGTCTCAGGGACCACCAATGGCACTGTGGCCACCAACGAGGTCAATGTGGCCACCAACGGCACCATGGCCACCGATGAGGTCACCATGGCCACTCATGAGGTCACTGTGGCCACCAAGGCGGTCAATGTGGCCAATGACAACAATGAGGCCACCGTGGCCACCAACGAGGACTCGGGGGCCACCAAGGAGGTCACCGTGGCCACCAACGGCGCCGTGGCCACCGATGAGGCCACTGTGGGCACCAATGAGAGCTCAACAGAACCCAATGAGAAGCAAACGAAACCCAACGAGAACTCAACGGAACCCAACGAGAACTCAACGGAACCCAACGGGAACCCAATGGAACCCAATGAGAACTCAACGGAACCCAACGAGAACCCAATGGAACCCAATGAGAACTCAACAAAACCCAACGAAAACCCAATGGAACCCAACAAGAACTCAAGAGAACCCAATGAGAACTCAACAAAACCCAACAAAAACCCAAAACCCAATGAAAACCCAATGGAACCCAACAAGAACTCAAGAGAACCCAACAAAAACTCAACAGAACCCAATGAGAACCCAACAGAACCCAATGGGAACTCAACAAAACCCAATGAGAACCCAACAGAACCCAATGAGAACCCAAAACCCAACAAAAACCCAATGGAACCCAACAAGAACTCAAGAGAACCCAATGAGAACTCAACAAAACCCAACGAGAACCCAACGAAACCCCTTAAAACCTTGACAAAGCCCAACGAGAACCCAACGAAACCCAACGAGAACCCAAAACCCAACGAGAACCCAACAAAATCCAACGAGAACCCAACGAAACCCCTTAAAACCTTGACAAAGCCCAACGAGAACTCAACAAAACCCAACGAGAACCCAACGAAATCCAACGAGAACCCAACGAAACCCAACGAGAACCCAACGAAACCCAACGAGAACCCAACGAAACCCAACAAAACCTCCAGAAAACCCACCAAGAACCCAAGGAAACCCACCAAGACCCCCTCGGAACCCCCCGAGGCGGCCGCGCCGTGGCCGGCGGTGCCGCGGCTGAAGCCGCTGCGGCACGCGGCGCAGAAGGAGATCGTCCTCTACGCCCACTTCCTGGGGCTGCCCTACGCCAGCGCCGAGTGCCGGCACGCGCCGCTGGCCTTCCGCGGCCACCCGCGGGCGCTGCTGAAGGAGCTGGAGGCCGCGCGGCCGGCGGCGGTCGCCGCCCTGGCGCACTCGGGCCGGCGGCTGGCGCTGGGCGCGGCGCCGGGGGCGGCGGCGGCGCCGGGGGCCTGCGGGCGCTGCGGCGGCGCCGCCAGCGGGCGGCTGTGCATGGCCTGCGGCCTGCTGGCCGCGCTGGAGCGAGGCCGGCCCCGGCTGGCGCTGGGCAAGCGCGACCTCCGGGCGGCCACCGAGGGCAGGTGGTGGGATGGGGGTGGTGGGTACCAAGATGGCGGCGGTGGGTACCAAGATGGCGGCGGTGGGTACCAAGATGGCGGCGGTGGGTACCAAGATGGGTTTGGTGGCCATCAAGATGGCGGTGGTGGGTACCAAGATGGGTTTGGTGGCCATCAAGATGGTGGTGGTGGGTACCAAGATGGCGGTGGTGTCCACCAAGATGGCGGCGGTGGGTACCAAGATGGCGGCGGTGGGTACCAAGATGGCGGCAGTGGGTACCAAGATGGGTTTGGTGGCCATCAAGATGGCGGTGGTGGGTACCAAGATGGGTTTGGTGGCCACCAAGATGGCGGTGGTGGGTACCAAGATGGCGGCGGTGTCCACCAAGATGGCGGCCGTGGCCACCAAGATGGCGGCGGTGGCCACCGGGGTGGTGGACAAGGGGTTGGTGGCCACCAAGATGGCGGCGGTGGCTACCAAGATGGCGGCGGTGGTCACCAAGATGGCGGCAGTTGTCACCAAGATGGTGGCGGTGGTCACTGCGGTGGTGGCCAAGGTGGTTGTGGCTGCAGGGGTGGTGGACAAAGGGTCGGTGGCCACCACGATGGGTTTGGTGGCCACCACGATGGGTTTGGTGGCCACCACGATGGGTTTGGTGGCCACCACGATGGGTTTGGTGGCCACTGGGACAGGGGTCAAGGTGGTTGTGGCTGCAGGGGTGGTGGTGGACAAAGGGTTGGTGGCCACCACGGTGGGGTCAGTGGCCACAATGACCACCAGAATTTTGGTGGCCACCAGAATTTTGGTGGCCCCGATGACCACCAGGCCCCAAATTCTGGTGGCCACCGTGACCCCAAGACCCCAAATCTTGGTGGCCACGGTGACCACCAGGGTTTTGGTGGCCACCATGACCCCAAGACCCCAAATCTTCATGACCAGGGTTTTGGTGGCCCCGGTGACCACCAGACCCAGAATTTTGGTGGCCACCAAGGTTTTGGTGACCGCCAGACCCCAAATTTTGGTGGCCACCAAGGTTTTGGTGGCCACCATGACCCCAAGACCCCAAATCATGGTGGCCACGGTGACCACCAAGGTTTTGGTGGCCCCGATGACCTCCAGACCCCAAATTTTGGTGACCACCAGGGTTTTGGTGACCACCAGACCCCAAATTTTGGTGGCCACCAAGGTTTTGGTGACCACCAGACCCCAAATTTTGGTAGCCACCAAGGTTTTGGTGACCACCAGACCCCAAATTTTGGTGGCCACCAA